CTCTTTCGCGCGCGCGCGCGAGTAATTTTATTTTCGTGCCGAGAGATAAGCGCGTATCCCATCGAAATATAAGGGCGCGCCGGAGAGAACAGTGATGATTCATCCCGAGTGAGGGCCGCGCGTTTAGAAAAACCAAGATTCAAAATGCGAGATTCAAAGTGTTGAGCTTTCCTCTCGTCTCTTCCGGTTTATCGATTATGATGTTCTCGTGGTATTCTATTAAATTCACTTTGGGCTGTGTTCAAATTTCCTTATTATTATTCATTGAATGTTAAATCATCGAATATTATAAAATTTTAATACTAATTTATTTACTTTTAGTATTAAAAATATTTAACAATATTTTATATATTTTATATATAAATAGTTAACATATTTTTAATACTCAAAATATAAGTAATTAATTGACAGTACTAGTATTAAATTTCCATAAAGGAAGAAGATAACACATAACGGGAACGCATTATTACGTTTAATAATTGGATTTAATTAAATTCAAGTAAAAAGAGATAAATCAAAATGTGTTCTCTAAAACTTTAAAGCCAGTATTCATAATCGAGTCTTATATTTAGGAATGTACGTTAAGATTAATTATATTTAAGACAGTCTTAAGACTGTCATGAATCAATCAGAGGATCGTATTAATATCTTAAGACGGTCTTGAAATAAGAACGGACTACTATAGCACACAATATTCCTAGAATGTCATATGAATATTGCTTATCCTTTTTAATATTCATGTAACATTCTTAGAATATTGTGTCTTACAGGACATAAATATATATCGATCTTAAAGTGAATCTTGCTCTTAAAGATTAAAATTGTATTATTCTTTTTCAAAACTGACTCAATGCTAACTCTTTAGAGAGGGATTTCATTCCAGAATTTAGAGAGTATTATATGTAATTACATTTTTGCTCGAGTCATGGATCCTCCAAGCATCTTTTGCGCGGCACACATTAGAGAGGGGCGTTCGAGCCCTCTTTCAGCGCATGTTCGCAGGAAAACGGAAAGAAATATCTCACGCACATCTCACGACGTTTCGCGCTCCTCAATTCGTCTCCGCGGATCGACTTCATGCACTCGGAAACTGTCGAAACGATACACTCGAGTCAGATGTCGCGACGCGAACGTCGACGTGCATGGCCCCGTCGACGCCGTCACCGAGGACACGACTGTGCCGGAAATGTCGCCCGCAACGCGGCCTTCCTCATATGTACGCGGTGTCCTAGGTAACCCACCGCCGGAGTCCGCGCGAATATCGTGCGCGCGCGCGCGGATCACGTGTACCGAAGAGAGTATCGGATCGATTTCTTCACCTGCCTCGACACAGAGTTTCTCAATAATCTGCGTTTCTTAATACCTGCAATCTTATTCGCGTGTACGAAGCTTGCAATTAAATCTGCAAAAAGGTCTCGCATTATCTAAAGAAAAGCGGAATGTAGTGAAAAGCTCCTGTTTGCTGCATTTTTTCTCTCCCTTTCTCTCTCTCTCTCTCTCTCTCTCTCTCTCTCAAAAACTAATTTTCATACGATAATAAATAGAAATTGATGAAGTTATAAATTGATCATAATTGATCATTGTAATGTTTTTAAAATGGAATTAATCAGTTGAGTTTTTGAAAAATTCATTTCTCTCGTTTTTTTTCCTATATTGCTAATCTACATATATATTATGAATTTATATTCGTATATTTTTTTCTCACCTTTATTATCGTGAAACATTCACATTCATTCTATTCTAATTTTCGTATCTGTATGCATACATGAACTCGTCTCGTTCAACTTAAGTGCCCTACATTTCCTATGTTTCAAAGAATACAATTTAGAATATAGAAATTTAAAGAAAAAGAAAAAAAAATTGTAAGCGAAGTTCTTTTAAAATTTTCTCGAAACGCGTTATTCCATGGTATCGCGCATTAAAATTTAATTAACACGCGACAACAATAATATGCTCGATATGGGTACCACTGGTGAACACAACGATCCAATCTGCTTCCGTATTTAGCAAAGCACGTTTATTCCATAGCATTATTTCACCCCTCGCGAGAGTATACTCATCGTATTTAGATTATATCGATTGCCGTTGCGCGTCATAGCTTGACCTACTTGTAACGTTGGACGTTTCTTACACACACACATACACACACACACACACACACACACACACACACACACATACACACACACACACACACACACACACACACACACACACACACACACACACATACAGAAAGCGAGGCACTTAACCCTTAGTTCTATGACGAAAAAGGTTATTACGTACCACGCTATTTGGTCGTTGTACTGATTCTAAGTTGATTGAAAAGGAAGATATTAACTGTTACGTCAATTACCTGTATAATCTTGTAATGAAATAAAAAAATGTGTACTTTTATTATGATGGATGAATGAAATAAGAATGGAAACAGTATTGATTTTACTGATATAATTAAATAATCAGGCTCCTCTTTATAAAATTCAGTTTATTGAAGTAGAATATTTAATATCAATTTTAAAAAATTATCATTCAGTTTTATTTTCTTGTGTTTTACTCTTATGGTGAAAAAATATAAGAATGGTTGATCTCGTAACAGAAATAAATGAAACGAAAGATATGAAATTAAATATACTTTCTTACTCCGTAATAAAATTTATAATAATGCATTGAAGATTTCCGCGAACATTGTTAAGTTATAACTTTGTTATAAACTTAAAAACTTATACTAAATATTTAAAATGAAATTCAAAGTTTTTAATAACACCAATATAATCTTTTCATCAAAGAATATGTTCTGTAATCATCAAGAATATTTTCTCATAAAGAAGCAAGTTAAAAGTAAATATTAATAACGATCTATAAATCGTAATTTCGTATTGAGCACTTTAAAATATGTCAAATATGTAATCAATAATACACGAATAAAATATATTCGATTAAACGTAGCATGCAACAACAGAATAATTATTAATAATTAGTTAATCCAATAAAACCAATGTCAAAAGAGACTATCTCAAAATTACAGTTAAAAACGTGTAAGTTGATATCAGGCAACTTACTCTTAGCGAAAATTTATATTCGACACGAATCTATTTGCTTAATACAAAACGTACTTTTCTTCAAATTAGTCATGAAATTCAGGAACCTTTATGATATTGCTCATTCAACGCGGAAATACTGCGTTAAATTTTTGCATTTAAGCGCTATAATATATAAAAAATATATAAAGAAAACAATACTAATTAATAAAATTAACCAATGCAAACAATAAAACCTGAACATAGATAATGCAATAAAAACTGAGCAGTTTATAACTGTATCACATTTAAGGAGCTGCGTGATTCTATGCCTTTGCAGATCTTGTTGTGTCGCGACAACGTAAAATATACTCGCATACGTAGAAATAGTTTGATCAGGAAAACAATTGGGAAGTCCGGACAAGGCGGTTTGTAGTCGATTTGTTGCGCGAGCTGTAGCATCTGTGCTCCGAGATTCTTCTCGATAGAAAGTTTCTCGAAATTGCGCATGAACGTGTCTTCAAGGCTGGAAACATAGAGATGGAAAGAGCTCGATGTATCTCTGCTGGACGAATTACTCTCCTTGGTAGCATAGGCAATGCATATGTTGCAATTAACGTGCACCAGCAAACACTCATTAAGCAGAAACTCGCACACACGCTTAAACGCGCTTCTCTCAGGCAGTCGCAAATCGATGTTGCGATAATTCGTCGCCGAGATGTTCAAAACTACTTGAGTAGCGGGCGGAATCTCATTAGCTAAAGAGGACACCGACGGGGTTGATGCTGTCTCTATTCGTTTGAGTATCTTCCGTCCGTTCACGGCAGAATCGCCCCCACTTGAATGCTCGAGGAAGTGCTTGCTGACGAGATTCTTGAATGCGTAAGTAAACAAGATAGGCGTGGGTCTAACGCGATTTCCACTTTGTCGTCTAATAGAACGAAAAACGCGCTCGATGCTCTCTAGATTCAATCTTCTTGTGCAGAGAGAAGGGAGCTGATGCTGTTGCAACACGTTCCACAGTTGAATAATCGCGTTGATTGTAATCTGCCAATGATCGAAGCACTTGATCGATTTGACGCACGCGCCATTCCTGTCCACTATCTTAATCGACTTCAAGAAGTCAAGTGTCTGCTGCAAGAAGCTCATTTCGTGCATGCTACCCGTGAAAGTTTGTTCGAAATTCTTAGTATTCGATTTGGTCGATGCAGAGGAATTGAGAATGTCGAATAGCTGATCAAAATTGTGTATAAACTCCATCGTGCCGATCATTTCCAGAGGTAATTCACCGGATGCAATGTGCGCGCTTAAACCTGCAGCTATGCTACCACTGAATATTTGAACAGCGTACTTGGTTTCTATCTTTTGACATCCCTTGGGCTCTAAATGACTCAAAGACAATTTAGGGGCCAATGGCAGTCGCAACTGGCTGTCGCGTCTGAAGAAGAGTTCAATATCCGTCCACGAGGCCCTTTTCTCGCGGAAGCGGAGATCATGAGTCCTGAACACGTTTCTGGTCGTTCTCATTAGCCGTGTAACATCAAAAACGAAAAACACTCTTTCGTTGTTCACCAGGAATGACGGGCGTTCCGTAGAGATTCCTAGTAATCGTGATAGTCGCAGAAACGTTGGTGATGTATTGGTAATTAAAACATGCACGGTCACATTGATGCTCTTCAATCTAATTATTGCTTGGAATATCAGATCCTTCAAGATATCGGTGTGACATGTGTTACTATGAAAGTAATAGGCGATGGGTTGTTCCCAGTCGCCAACTAAACTACACGCCATTATCACCAAAACCTTTCTCGCTAACGTGCGCCGCTTCTCTGTACCGGTATCGTGGAAACCAACAATTTTGTCGCGCGTCAGATTGTAGAAGAGATGTGGTCTAAGTCGCATTTCCTTCACAGACAGGGAGCAATGTCTCTCCGTCGACGGCAGCGATTTGATCTTCAAACGCAACGCATTAAGTACATTGTCATTCAAGCCGGGCGGCATATCCCAATTGCGGATGTGTCTCCACAGCTGACGCGTTGTAGGTAGCAAGCATAACGGCCGGTAAAATCTATATGCACCTGATGCCATGAAGAATAACTCGAGCGCGAGTTGCTTATCCTTAAAATTCTTTTTAGTCTTAGGCTTCTCGCAAGCATTGATGCACGCTGAAACTAACATGGCGGAATTATGTGGTAATAAATCTGTACACGCCGTTTTAAATTGATCCATGTTCAGACGATTATCTTCGTTTTCCATGTCGAATGTTTTTCTTCGCTTTGTGTCGGCACAAATCTCAGATTTTTCCATAGGTCTCTTCCCTCGAATCCAAGCTTCTGGTGTCTGTGTCGAAATATTCCAATGTCTTCTTTTTGGTGTCCTGTAACATTTAACAAAATTTATGTTTAATATCTTTATTTTATTGTTAAATTAATATTTTTGTATATTTTAGTGAAATAATCTGACGTTAATCGCTAAAATAAATTTTTATCAAATTTTAACATTTTCACTAGTAATATTAATCTTTGATAATGATATTTACTTGTCACCATTTTGTTGCGTTGTATGAATTGTTTTTGACGACGTTGTACAAATCGATACTGTTTTTGATGGTGGTGTACAAATTGATACTGTTTTTGATGGTGGTGTACAAACCGATACTGTTTTCGACGTTGTTGGCACTGGAGAGTCTATAGATGTTAAATCTATAATATCTCTATTTAAAAAAGAAATAACTTTCTGTATTTAACAATTATAAATGATGCTATATAAATTGAGATTACAAATCTCATAACTTACGAATTACTGCACTCTTCTTTTGGAAATATTCGTGCCAATGTCGATATTGCTTCCGTATTCGTATCTATTTCTTTAATAAATTGTATTTCCGCGGAAGTATTCCTATTAATAGAGTGGATTTTTAGTACTTTTATTTTTTACATACATATACCGACATATTGTAAATAAATTAAGACTTCATTTACATTAAATTCTATTAGCAAAACAGGAATAAATAATGCTAAATATTAATTGAAAAGAAATAAGTTAGATATCCTTTGAAAATAATATATTCAAACGCGCCTAATTGACTTTAATACATCTAACATTTCTAATTCACCTGTTATCATTCTCTTTCTTCACATCAAGCAACAAGGTTTGAGCCGATGATACATTTCTGATAAAAATTAAATATATTATTTGTTATAACACAGAACATAAGTTAAAAACTGAATTAGAAATACAATATCAATATTAAGGCAAACAAAAGTTACCTATCCTCATATGTCTGTTTTAAAGAGGATCTTGGAAAAAGTGCTTGTACTGGTGAAATTATGGCTGTATCTCTACATCAAGAAATTATTTTTATTCAATAAAGATGAGCAATAAAAATATAATACTCATGCAACAAAACGGAATTTATTATATCTGTTATAGATGATGTATATATAATTATATGTATATGCAAATTTACTCGAATCGTTTATATCATAAGTAGATTATATTCTTATGGCAAAAAGAAGCTCACCTTTCGTCAGGTTTCATGGGATGCGTTTCAGATACTTCAGATTGTGATAAATCTGTAGAGTTTCTAAAAAAGAATTGCAATTATATTTAGAAACTATTTTACTCCTTGAGCAAAAAGTTAGCGAAAAAATTCAAATACAACTTGCGAACTTACCTATTTCTGCTCTCTGGCTTCAAAAATATAGTTACAAAAGAAATCGGTTGGAACAAAGTCGTAGACGAATTACCACTAAAAAAGAGAAAAGAAAGTTACATTTTTTATTTTTCTTAAATACAATTTTAAAATCTGATAGTTTCATTTGTAAATTATTTCTAGCAATATTGTAGCAGTATATCTATATAACTGTACTAGTAGCAGATATATAAATATAAATATTTACTCACTCTCCTGTTTGTTGTAATGGCTTCAAAAATATTGATGGCACAGCTTCTTTACTGAGATAAATTCTTCCTTCTATATTTCGAAACATTTCTACTCGAAAATGTAAATGGCATATCCGATAATATCGATTCGCAAATTCTGGGCCTATTGGCACCAAATCCATTCTATTACATGCTTTAATCCATTCTAACCATCTGAAATTATATAATTTTAAATATAAAACTGACAATGAAAATATAATATTATATATCAAATACAGAATATAAATTTGAAGATATATTCAGATTTATTTTATATATAAGCACAAAATTAATTTTCAGAGTATATATAATAGGAAAAAATATATTCAAATTTACACATAATGTAACCTTATGTTTAACAAATGCTAAAAATCAAAGTCAAAGTCACATTTGAACAATTCAGTCAATTAACCAATACGATTAGTTGATTCCTTCTCTATCCAAGATCTCAAAGTGATTTCTAACATCATGGGCACAAAGTTTTGTAGTTTGAATTGGTTTGAATTAGATACAAATACCTTTTCCTATCTTTCGGAAATCGAAAGAAATGTCGTCTCATTATTTTTATATTCAACATGCAACCTGGTGCAGAGCACCAACGAGTATTAGTTCCAGTTCCATCCATCCTTTTTAATGCAATATTATTTAACACACTGCAATTTATTTTCTATTTAGATACCTAGAACAAATATAATATATATAAGTTTAATCAGCAAATGTCTTACTAATTTTGTATTTTGTACATTAAACAAAGTACATTAACATTGTTAAGTCTGTAAGTAATTAAATAAAATTACAAAGACTTAATTTACAAATGTTCTCATCATAGTATTATACACAATGTTACTACATAATTTTATATAACTTAGCTTTGAAATATATAAGCAGTAAAGATTTGTTTCTTATATAATAAGAATTTAAATTTCTTATAAAAAATAGTTTAATTAAGATGTAAAGATCTACAATATTATATCTTAGAAATAACAATGCAATTAAATAAATTGCTCGTAATATATTTATTAATTAAAATGTCATTAATTTCTTCTATTAAATAGTTTATATTATATTTCTATTTTTTTATTATTTGGTTTATTATCGCTAAACAAAACCCAAATTCAATGAACTGTCATTCAACAATTTCTCACAGCTTTGCTTACCATTGTTTATCTACTTTTAGATGCATGTACACAAAATCTGTCTGTGTAAAATTGTTGTAAGTTATTCATAAAATTGCATAATTAATTTATAAATCTTACAATAAGTTTTAATTTCCTGCACATACACTGCAATTTGTAAATATTTGTTCACCCCATGTCTTTTCATACCTTTCATAAATGCGGGGAGAAATTTTAGAAAATATTTACCTTACAGACAGGACAGTAGATGACACCTCAATCAGTAAGGTTGAGATTGAGTGAAGAAAGATTGTAAATTCTCTATAATAACTCGCGAGCGATAAGTTCTTCAATTTTCATAAACAAAACTTGATACTTGTTTATTCTCAAGTCTCTTACATCGCATCCTGTCGATACACAAACAGCTCTTCCCATTTCTCGAATCTCACTTTCTCGCGGGCGCACTTTTCGAAGATAAACAAATGATCCATTAGATTAACCGTCACGACAAAGTTAAAATGGAAGTATATTTGGATTTCGAAGGAAAAAAGACGAGGAAGAGAAATCACAGAAAAGTATACGGAAAAGGAATAATGTCCATCACGTTTCTTAACAAACGAGAAACGAAAATTTCGCGCGAAGCTATACGTCCGTTCATAAAAAAACGTCAGCTGAGCAGAATAAATTCAATTGGTTAACCTCGAGCTTGTGCGCGGTTTATCAGCCAATTGCTGTTCTCGCTGAATACGCGGCAATTTCAAAAATGATTGTCTTTTAGCGCGCGCATAAAAATATATCGAGATCCGAAATGTTTAATTTATTGCACAAAGTTTCCGCAAAACTTCGTTAAAAATTACATTGTTATTAACTTCAATGTATCTTTATTATAATCTTTACATATTTACTGAAAACAATAATAAAATAATAAAGTACAAAGAATTTTTTAAACAGATACAGAATCGAAGTATTATAATAATTTCATTCGGAAATATTTTCCTAAACATATCATATATACAAAGGTATTAAACATCTTTCTATATTATTGTAGAATAATATTATTGTATATATAATCATAATAAGTATATATAATCATAATAATCATATAAGTCATATGGTTTGGATGTTCTCGCTTTAAGCACTTACATCATCATTCCATTTTTGTATCAGATATGTTTGATGTAAATATATCTTATACAAGGATAGAAGCGCTGAAAGTACCCAAATCGAACGCAGTTATAATCATATACAATAGATGTGACTATTTTCATCTGTGCTTGCCATGCATATATACAACACATATATACACATTATGTATTTTAATTATGTATTTTTTTAATTATGTATACATATATAAAAAATACATAATTACGGCATAAAATCTGCGCTATATGTTCTCGTACTCAAGAATATACTAAATTTCAATATAGCATCTATGGTAGACTCAAGTATTATTTCATCTTCAGTAGACCAACCAATGGTGTCCGCAGCTAAAATTAAATAAAAAATATATGAGAATGTATTATAATGAATTTGATAAAAAAAAAGAAATGTGTCATATATCAGAAAGTAGCAGAAGTTTTGGATAAGATAACATATGATACTTTCCACTTCGTGACATAAGTGAACGTCGTTTTATTATTCTTGGCATTTCATGAATAACAAAGATAGAACGATCCTTATGTCATCAAACGGTAAGTACCCATTACTTTTTCTTGAGATTAACTTTGTAACATTTGTAATAAAATGAAATCGTATTATCATACAAAGCACTCTATCAAAATATTTTTATAGATTGTATTAAACAAGAAAGCAAATTATCTGAAATTAGTACACAAATATTTTTGACGTTCGAGAAATGTTATCGAAATAAATATCGAAACATCGTTATCGAAATAGATCTTCTAAATCTTCTTAAATCTTTTATAAATTATAATATTAGCTGTTTATGTTTAATTACGAAAATAGAAATAATTTTTAAATATGAAATAATTTATGTACAGATGGATTACAATATTTTGAGAACATCACATAGAATACGTACAATAATTAACAAAATGCAAATATGTTATTGTTGATGCAGACATTAATTAACAACTATCAATTAGAAATTTGAAAATTTGAGTAATATTAATTTTAGTGATCACATACTTAGATTACTAATATTAACTGTAGGTGGTGCAGAGAATAGAGTAACGCATGTTTTCTTCAAGAGCTTACTCTCTAAACATCCCAACCTGACCAGCATCTGCAAAAAATTATTTTCACCGAAAGTTAGTTCTTACAATATCAAAAAGAAAATGTATACAGGTTCCATACTACTTTTTATCAATAAGTTGTAGAAACTCTGTAGTACTTATATCTAATATAAGATCTAATGGAATGAGTCTTTCTTTAAGAGTGCAGAAATACTGATTTATTAATTTGCAAGTGTATGGACAATCAATAAAACGAACCTCAACTAATTCACGTGTATGATAGGGTTGTAGAACAGGAACAAATCTGCTTTGCATTTTCGCCATTGTGAGTCCAGGATGAAGCATGCAATAACTCAAGACTGCACCTAACATTCGATCTAAAACTTTGCGATTTAGTACGCCGTCTATACGTATCCATGGCCTTACTGCAACTTTTATTTCTTCAACAGTTCTGAAAGAAAACACAGTTCAATATCATTTTTCAAGAGGTTTCTGAGAAAACATTTTTTTTTATTCATATGTGATTTCATACGTGAAATCTAATTGCTGCGCTGATTTATACACATCTTTTTGTGGAAGTAAACGTGGCTTTTGCTTATGCGTTCTTTTTCTTGTACATAAATTGCTTTTCTCGCTATTTTCCTTCTTCTCGTCCTTCTTGTTAATTATGTCATTGTCTGTGTTTTTCTTTTCTTTGCTGTCTTGGTTGTCCGATGATGTTGAAGGTATCGCACTATCTATTTCGCCTGCAACATGCTTATTCTAAATATTTATTGTTAAAAAAAAACAATATATTAAACATAGAACTTAATCCATTTAATAATTAAACAAAACTGGAAACGTTGATTTTTTAATACTGTCACTTTTGTAAACTTTATGACCAAGAAAAACACACTGAAATATAGTAAAGCATAAATTGAATATAATATATTCTATGTGATAAAAGTCTATATTTTAATAAAATTTTTCAAATGAAATATAATATATAGAATTTGTAATATCAAATCTTATTATACCATAATTATAAACAAAAATTGATGTATTCATTTATTTATTAAAATAAATATTTTAGCAAAATATAAAATTAAAAAATATAATAAAACTATATTACATTTTTCATTTGCATCTTTTTCATTGTCGATATTTGTATCTTTTGCATCCATCTCAGTATTTGTTTCAGCTATTTTCCCTTGATGCATTGTGGAATATATACTATCTTTAAATGGCACTAAGGATTCTTGTTCAAGACGATATATTTTACAGGAATTAATTAACCAGGGATCCACATAACGATGATGAATATATCGTGGTTTGGTGACACCAGAGCGTACAAATATACGATTTTCTGTTAAAAGCGAAACGATCTTGTACAAATTTTCTCCTTGTTTGTTGAAGAATTCATCCTGGATAAGACAAAAGAAAAATAATTTTTTTTTAATAACTAAGTTAATAAAATATTTTTTTTTAAAATTGCTGATTAAAATGCAAAAATTCGCTAGGAAAAAAACCATTAAAAATTTACCGTTAATAATTTATTTAAAAAACAATATATTAAATGTAATATATTAAATGTAAATAACTTAATCCATTTAACAATTCAACAAATCTGAAAATTATGATTTTTTAGTACTATTTTTTAAACTTCATGATACAAAGAAATACAGTGAAATATAAAAAAAAATTTCTCTCTTTATCTGCTGTCTGGTGTGTGTGTGTGTGTGTGTGTGCGCGCGCGCGCGCGCACGCGCGTGCGTGCGTGTATGTAAAAAATGAGTTACCAGCAGTTCCTGCGAACAGACGCCGATTTCTTTCTTTTCCTGAACGAACTCGTATACTGCGTCAGCATATTTCCAATTAATTGCTTCAGTTAATTCTTTGTTTTTCGTCATAAATTCGTTCTTATAGTCCGTATAAGAAACAATGTTCTTCGGAAAAACTGCAGTCTGATTTAACTCGCTGAGAAAATCGTTTACAGTCTCGATCTTCAGCGGTACTAATTGATTAGGTACTGAATAACCTTGAAATTTCTCAATATTGTTTAATGTTTCTATAGTTGAAGACAATTCCAAGCTATAGAATATCCTAAAGCTATTAACTACGAAGTATTCGTGCGCATGATGACTGTCGGTCATCGAGAGATCATTTAGTTCTTCCTTCATCCTCAGCATGGATATTCTAGTATATTTTTTTTGGACGTCATTTGTAGCCTCTATCTTGTTGCAAGAACTAAAGTAACTCATCTTAGGTGACATATTCTTGATAATCTCACTGACACGTCGAGAAATCCGAGTTATATCGATTATATTGTTCGGCTG